TTCCCCCTACCATTTTATAATTTTGGCTGCGCCACTGTCTTTAATACGGTGATTATCGGATGTGGTATCTTAAGCGTCACTGGAATGCCAACAAAACATAATAAATTGGTTGGAGGTGCATTGCAATCGCATTTCATTTTCAGTACTCACCTTTAAGTACTGTAGTCATAAGCTTGATATTTTGATTTTTATATTATTGTTTGTTTAGTTAAGATAAAGAAGACATAATAAAAATACCGATAGCTATGCCGCCATTTTCCAATAGCATGCACATCAAAAATGTCGTCATTTTTCAGGGCATTATTGTTTTGAAAAGGCATTTTCGATTATATCTTAGATAACTTTTTGGTAGTTTTTAGAGCATTTAAATCTGAGGCCTAGAGTCATGAGATATAATTAATAAGTTATAACCAGTGCTCGAGACTTGTGCAGTATTTGCATATTTTTTTGAGAAATTCGCCCCCTCAAATATAGTAAGTGCACTTAGGGTCACCTTAGAGACTACTTTAGGTACCAACATTTCTGTATCACGTTTAGTATCTCCATGGCAAATCTATAAATTTAAATGTGTTTTTTTTTACAGTAATAAGAATAAATATTCTAATTGAATGATATAAGTTTGAAATTTTTTTTTAAGTTAACCATGTTTTATTATATTTTTTAGAAAAGTCTTAAAAAATAATATTGAAATTGAGTGCATATCTACCAAGTTAATGCAAATTAAGTTTTTGGTTTTCAAAGAATAATAGTTATATTTCTATATTAAATACGAATCACTTGATTTAATCAATCTCGATTTGAACGCGGATAAAGGTACTGTATGACAACATGTAAATATCTAATTAAGTATTAGCGAAACTTTGCAAAAGTGTATTTTCAATATTGGAACTCAATAATAAAGCAATTTTACCCATTTCTAAAAATAGAGACATTATAAAAATCTGTTGAATATTGATATTTGATAGGTATCATAACATATTGTACGATGGTTTTTCACGATGTGGTTACTTAATTCTATAGCTTTTCAGAAGGTAACTTTTATTCTTTCGTGAGTGAAATTATGTTTCTTGTCGATATAATCATGTATACATTCATTTTTCAAATGTTATTCAAAATAGGTATGAAACAATGAAGTAGATTGTCATAAGGAAAATCTACGAGATATTGAATCATTACTAACATATAGGTGGCTATTATTCTTATAAAATCAAAAACTTAAGCTTTAACTTAGTCGATTCTCAGTCAATGTTAATCATATTTTTTGAGCTGTTTCAAAATACATGATCAATGACATGGTTGTATCTTAAAATTAAAAAAAAAGCTTAATTGTTTAAGAAGGTGTTTTGCTAATTTTTGAATTAAAAAAAAAATTGAATCTTATGCCATTCAATTAGAATTTCCTACTTATTACCGAAAAAAATAATCTCCACGGAGATACTAATAGTAATACGGGACTTTTGGGACATACTGTAGGTATAGTGCTTAACTTTCAACTAAACTATAGTTTGAACACAAAACAAAATAGATAGGTAGATTCAATTTTACTGACACGAATCGATTGAAGACTTTCATGTGTTCCTATCTATCTTATCTCTTTAAAGTAATTTTTATAGTTCACAAAATATGATAATGTACTTCACATACATATATTACATTACGTAAGAGTACTGAAAGTACTAAGTAGCACGTATATATACTATATAGGATGTATGAAATAAATCAAAATTTCCTTTTTCGTGATGTTTAAGGTTAGATGATTTTTGCAAGGGCATAGAAACGTTGATAAGCCTAAATATACAACAATGTGTTTTTTAAATGTCAATCGCCTCATAAATGATGGAAAATTTCAGCCTATTTACATTTTACATGATGAAATCGACTACAATGAAATACACGAAAATACTCGTATAATCCACGCATGTTACGTGTGTGCTGTGTGGAAAATGGACATGGTCTACCATAATCTAAGGTGGTTGAAGAAGTTAGAGGGCAATATAAATCCATTAATAGTGTTATAATATATAGTGTTGATGAGTAAAGTTTCAACAAAGTTCGTGTTGATCATTTCAAATCTGAAACCACAAGTCATATTAAAATGTTTGCCTAAAGAACCAGTCATCAACTTGAAGTGCATGGATTAAGGCACCTAAGTATATTTTTTTGCACAATATTTTGAAACTTTTTTGTAAATACTTATTAAAGCGCATATTTAGACACTTACGTCCCCCAGTCATAACTATTATGTATTAAAGTATTAGTATACAGGGATGTTCACAACCATTATTTTCAGTTGGTACCAACAATTTGAAATTCGAAATTGAAGAAAATTATTATTTTTAATAATATTTGAACATTAAAATATTAGAAACAAACAACAAAAATGAATATATATATATATATATATATATTAGTTGTTATTATATTATTATAATTATTTTGAAATTGTTCACCTTGATTTTTCATCATATTTTTCTATGACCCTCTCTTTGAAATCAAAATAAATAATCTTGGTAATTAGTCAAATCTTTTTCCAAATTGTATACTAATCATTGCTGTGTTACTGTCTACTGAGTCTATCGTTAATCATATAGTTCTTCTAAACCAGAGATAATCTAGATAATCTACATAATCTTATAGTAACTAAAAAACAAACAACCGTAAATATTTTAAATTTTCACCAATTGTTTACACGGCCATTTTGTATACAAGATAACAATAAATTTTCAAAATTTTTTGACTGTTTTTGATATATTTAATATACTTATAAATATACTTATATATTTTTATACTTCAATTTTGTTTGTTTATTTTTTTTTTTAATGTCAATATAAAATTTGCGGCTTGTTCAAAAAAGTTTTAAAATGTAATTCTTCGTGACTTCTTAGCTTTTCGTAATACACCAATTATGTATTTATTTATTTTTATTGAACTTAAGTCGGCAACTATGACCATAGGCTATTTGTAGGGAGAGATGTGGTTGGTTTGAAACAGGTGTATGTGTGGAGAGGATTTGGCACTAAAAACCCTAGTGGTCACCCATTCGGGAACTAGTGACACCAGTCGATGCTTGCACTCAGAACACGTTCCGTGAGTAAATACAAACACAGCGTCAAATACATAGTCAAATTTTTTTTATAATTTTTTTTTTAGTTACGATCCTTACAACATTTGCCAAAATCACGAAAATTTCGCAAACTATTTTGTATTAGAAATGCTGTTCTTTTTTTATAAGCATTTAAAGTTTAAATTTCGAACATTTTCAAATTATTCTATAGTTTAAAAAAAATTATAACATGTTTAATTTTTATAGCTAAGGATTGAAAATTCAAAACAAGGTCTCTCATAATTAGCTTTTCTTTTCAAAAGATGTATTTTCAACTAAATTTTTAAAAAGTCTAAAACATATTATATAAGCACAGTTTTTTTTATAAATATTTTATGTTGAAATTTGGAGGAAAATTAGATTTTTAAACAGTGAATAACAATTTTAGTCATTTTGTTGTAAGTAAAAATAGTATTCATGGGTACTTGGAACTTGTAAAGTAAATTATAAGTACGTTATTATATTTTATACACATAATGACATTTTCAAATGCAGTGTTTTCGACAAAACTAATTCATCCTACTGTAGTATTATTAATAGTAAAATAAATTACTTTGATAGCAACAATATCATAAAATATACTTAGGCTGACAGACCGTTTTCGCTCAGAATCTTTTTCGTATACGATTATTTTATATTATTAAATTGAGATTGAACACATCCATTACAGTGAACCACTCAATACCTACTACGGCAAGGCAGAGTGGTACACCTTTGCGCCTTGCCTACCTTTTTTAATTCGTTAGGTATTTCGTTGTTTTCAGAGAAAAGTAATCAGAAAAGATTTCAATTTGTATCGTTATTCAAAGTTAAGCATCGTTTTTCATTTATAGCGTTTTAGCTCACACAATTAAGTAATGTAGGTAAACACTAAAATATATTATTAAATTAAAATTCAAAATTTAATCGCAGATTTATTTTAAAGTTAAATACATTTTTTTTCTTCATGCATTTACTTATTTGGATTTCTATTTGTTTTCCGTCTGGAGATTTTTTCTGAGTAGATTTTACAAATATTGATTTAATCAAACTATTTTGTTATTGCATATTGTCGGTGAAGGGAAGTAATATCTTGTATCTCAAAAAATATTATTTTCAGGAATTTAAAAATGTGATTATAATATCAATTTTATCTTATACACAACTAACATTTTTAAAGAAAGTTGATACAATATTTTTTAATTATTACATTTTGTTATTTTTGAGTCTACCAATTGTATTAATTGTCTTGTGTGTGCACTAATTGAAAATTTTAAAATACTCTGTGCTGAGAAAAGTATTCTCAACCAAATGATTCATTATAATAATAAATTATTAACTAAATTGTTTAATAATTAATATAATAATTTTATCAATTTCTATATTTGCGTGATTAATTTTCAATATTTTGTGTAATGATATTATTTTTAATAAATTTAAATTTAATGCACTTGACACATCTCTCATATCAAAAATATTAAATTAAAGTTTCAAATTATGCAGGTATAAAAAATTAAATCGATAGTTCACATTCTTATTCAATTTTATTTTTATTTTATTTGAAAGCATAATTGAAACCCATACAAGTTTATGTACGAATTTGATAAAGTGATTAAAAAACGAACATTTCAGATGGATAACCCTGAGTAGTGCCGAAAAAAAGTAAAAATATAATTATTATTTGACATAATAGTAATTTAAAAATATTTGTGTAATGTATATTTTATAAAATTGGTATTATAGAATATATATTATGTTATTGTATAATACACAGAGCATAATATGGAAAAAAAACCAACTAAATTATTACTATCGACTAACTTGTAAAATTAATGTAATACAAGTAACAATGTAAACATACAACTAAACATGTTTAATTAAAATAGTAATATATATATATATAATTTGTATGTTGTAGAATTATTGAGCCTTATTTGGTAGTAATGGATTTCCAGTGTACGATAACTTAGAATCGGAAAAGTTTGTTCTGATATATCTGCAAGAACCCAGTGCGGAAATAAAACTTCGACAGGATCATCAGACCAGAGGAGAGATCTCTATAGTAGGTAGGTACTCCATTACAATTAATCGATTACTCAGTCTATATTTAGAGAAGAGTGATGTCATAGAATAAATATGATATAGATTCAATGGACATAGGTATTTAAAAGCAAGTATGTGAATAAGCAATATGCAATACAAGTTTATAATATGTCAATATGTGAACATCTTACCAGCCCAAAGTGTTGATTCTTATCATACAAATTACACATCTTAACTCCGATTTATAAAAAAAACCAAAACTATTTAGTACCTACATATTTGTTTAGTAACCATATCGTTTAATAGTATAATTTCTTGTTTTCAGGAACATTATACCCAACTCTATAAACATGGACAATGAGAAAAACACACTGTTACCAAAGTGGAGTGAGTGGAGAAGCACGGTGAAACGTCAAGTAAACATTTTTAGTTGCAACCCAAACAAATGTACTTGTAACTACTTGTATGTTCTAACACTACAAGCTGTTGATTTTTTCCGGGAATTTAAACACGAACCACTGAATGGCACACGCCTACAATCGGTTGTATAGGTGATAGGTACTATAGTACTGCAGGGTTGTTTTAGACAACACGTTTTAAATGCAAACAATCTATTGACGGCACCAATGACCGATAGAGTTTTAAATTTGGTTATGACACCAGTGACGACGTTTATACGTACAATCGTGGACGATGCAGAACCAGATCGATCTGTATGTGTCTAACAATAGGCGTGATCACAGACCAGTTACTTCAATCGCGATTGTTGACCTTAAACGAATATGATGACTAAACAATAAACATTGCAATGAAAAAAAAACTAACTGCTAACATATTTTAGCTTATTGAATTTAATATAAATTTTATTTTAGTTCCCAGGTCCGTTTCTTCATAGTGGATTTTGAATTCACTATGATGGTGACATATTATTAGTGTCCGGCGCCATATCAAACAGCTTAGACAAATAGGTATAAGCCAGTAAAACTTGAGGGAAGCCCTCTCATACTTACTAAGGATGATAATTTGAGAAGGTTCCGGCGCTGTGACTTAAACACCGTTGTGCAAGCAATTAAGAGGATATCTAGACATAAGACAGAACTGATGATACCCTTGTTGGAACAGTTATACCAAAGTGTTAACATACGGGGGGCTTCTAACTTGTCTACGAGCTACGACTTATCTTCAAAAATATTTGCACATTCCTGAAAGGGATCCAGTAATAGTATTTTGTAACGGATCAACAGATATGACTATAATTAAGCGTCTAAGGTTAAGGGGTATACTTAAATATTTAAATTTAACGGCATATAGCGTTAAGAATAATAACGAATTTAATACAAAACTAATAAACGTAGAAATTAAGGAACAATTATATTCAGGGTAGTATAGGGTACATAGGAACAATAAATAAAAATGGCAGGATGTTAAATTTACTTGAGACACATGGACTAGTGTGTAATATAGATCATAATATAACACATTGTCATGATCCAGTAGCTGATATAATTTTAACAAAATGTATTTTTAGCTATGTTGTTATGTTACTAAAATTAAGCCTATTAAATTATTTTATAGATTATGTAGAAGGGATAAGAGACGAAAAAAAATGCATAGTAATATATTTAATTAGAATGATAGTATAAGCGATTACAAATATATATAAGTAAAATAATAGTAAAAAGTATAAAACACACTAGATGTGAGGTAATAAGGGCTTCCTATTAATATACATTACGTTTATTATAGAGAAAAGAAATTCATCTAGAATTAAAAAATATCATCGGCAACGAAGTGCGTATATATTTAGATATAATGAAGATCAATTTCAGTCGATATGCATGTGTCGATATTTATTAAAAGCTAATAAAAGGATTAGTCAACCTTTTGAGTTTAAGCGACTAAACAAAATAACTAGGAACATCGAATTATTTATGAAGGATCATTGTAAGGGGGAGTGTAGGGAACTTTTGAAAATAATCGAAAAAATTATTATTATTTTTATTATTAAATGTAAACATACGAATGCAATAATTTTGGGATATATTATTCACATTAATTGGTGAAGGATTTATAACATTATATTAACACAAGGGAAATTAATACTTATTATTATTATCAACATTATCATAATCATTATTGTGTATCAAAAAAAGAAATATATTATTAATATTATATACCAACGCTAACACAATTATCTGTTAGTCAAGTAAAGTATTATAAATCAATCAATGAATATTATTATAAGAACATAAATAAAATGTGAACTCTGGAACGAAAACCTATTATAAATGGCATAAGCCATAATAATAATAATAAAAAAAAATGTAAATGAAATATGTAACAAATTTTTAACTCGTTTTCCAGACTATGAAATTATAGATTGTAATGGAAATATGACGTAACGTGATAATAGCATTAAAAGAAAACAAAAATTGTAAAAATTTCCGTCTTGCAGACATAAACGTTTTTTTTCGCGGGGAGGTGTGGCGGGCTTTGGAATCTCCGCATATAAAATTAACATGTAACATGTAATATTATAATAATGTAGTATAGAACATATTATTATTGATCTTTCACAATGCCCAAAGTATTACCGAAACCGCGGTCCTCATGAAACATCGTACGAATATATTATTATAACCTGTCCCAACATAAAATACCGTCAGCACGTGACGACCGATGTACTATGACGGGTTAGCATCCACCTATGTAATAGATCACTGGACAGGTACACGATTAGAAATCACGAACACGAGCCGCTGTTCTGGGGATCAGCAAAAACAACCGAAAACTGCACATTACACCATGCAATATACAAGCTGCTGGTACATCGAAGGAACCGCCACCACTTGTAAGGGAGCCCGTGGTACAGCCTAGCTGGGCGGGAGATTGTAAATTCCGCCCGAAATGAACGGGTAAAAACAAGGTCTGTGGTAAATTCCACCCGGAAAAATATCCAAGTAAAAAAGGTACATGTAAACTCCGCCCGAAAAATTATAGGTACAGGTACAAAAATGGTTCAGCTCGGAAAAATAAATATTTTTAAACTAAGCGTTCAGTGACTTGTACGACGCGACCGTATACTTTTCGCGACGCGGCGCGTGTTATAACTTATTATATAGTATTGGGAAGTCACAAAATGTTCGAACACGGAACAATCGTACCTCAAACGATAATCGTCAATCATTATTTTGACTCGTATTTGTTATTATAATAATTTTTACTATTTTACGATTTTTAATACTTTTATATTATAATACATTGTGTTAATTATTGATTATGATTTAATTTTACTATAATATTATGATTGTTACATTTACTTTTATAATTATTACTATTCTTACGATTATACATGACTTATGCTGTAATTATCGACTTAATATGTGAAATATATATTTATTTAAATACCCACTTCTAAATTATAATGTTTAATCTACGTTATGTCAGTAATAATATGATTAATAAGACACATTCAGAAATTTGTTTATTAACAGTACTACATTTTTTCGGTCGGAATTTTCATGTACCTTATTTTACCTGTAGTTCATTTTGTGCGGAATTTAAAATTTTCGGGTGGAATTTACATGCGCCCGCATGGGCAGATGTATCGGCTGGTTACCGAATTGGTTCCCGTTTGAAAAAGATATTTTATTGTGGTAAGCCGAATTGGTACCCGTTTAAAAAAAAATGATATAATGTATACAATTTTAAATCGTTGATTTGGAAGTCAACCATAGTCATCACTAGGTGTAGGTACAAAATACACATTTCAATAATAAAATATAATAGGTAAATACAATTATTTAAAATCATTAATTTGCAAATTTGAAGCAAACTTTCTTTAAGTATTCAATTCGCGTAAGCGTCTCATTAGTGTACTCAGTCATATAATTTTCTAAGAATTTGTTATTTTTTTCTTGTTTGCTAGTAAGTGTTCTAGTATTATCACTTCGAAATTTAATATAATTTAATATCTGAATACTGTTTAGTGTCTCCATAAAATAAAATATATTAGGATGGGCACTAGTAAATTCTTTATTCTATTATTCAGCTTTGAATTGAACGATTCGCGACAATTTGTAGTCCTATCAATATTTTTGTCAAATCTAGCCCAATTCTTCGGTGGAAAGTTACTGTCTGCATCATGAACGTAGTCAAAGAACTGATCCAATTTTGGATAGCAAGGTTTTATGGCGTCTTCGGGTGATAATAAGGGCAGTCCAAAAAATATTTTCACAAGTTGAGACATTACAGTGCTCACTGCTCACCTACATTATTGTCATTCGTAAATAGGATATAAACGATATACCATACAGCGATAAAAGTACATATATCTCAATCGGTATCTTAATTGATCGGGATATCACCGATAATTTTCTAAATTTCCAATACATAAATATATTGCCATCTTATTGTATATTATACTTTAGATTATAGAGTGTAGCCGTGTAGGTACATTTATATTTTATACCGTCTAATTTATATTTTGTACCAATTATTATTAAAAATTAGGTACCAGTACACAAACGGAAACCAATTCGGCTCAACCTAATAAAATACCTTTTTCGAACGGGAACCAATTCGGTTACTCCCGATGTATCATAGCCACGGAGACCAGAGCAACTTCTCGTCACACACGCACACGGTATTATACACTTGAAATATTTTCTGCTAAATAAACGTTATTCTATTCAGTTCAATTTGGTACTTATTTGATTTGTCTCAAAAGCTTACGGCGTTTGGAGCCTTTGAGATTACGCACACAGCAGTACTATCAATACCGTAGCTAGAAAAATATTTAGGGGGATCGTGTTATATTAAATATGAAAATATGAAAATCGAGGCCTTAGCCAGAAATTTCGGGTGGGGGGGATCAGGATTTAACCCCCCCCCCCTGGCTACGGCCTTGTGTACTTTATTAACTTACACAAACTTATCGAACATTGTGAATTTATAGTTGCATTTTTTTAACGTAATATTATGCGTAGGTAATATAATATTGTAACTAAGACAATCGTTATTAATTCAGTGTCAGTTGTCGCAGTAGGTACCTATACTTTATACTACATTCCTACTCGATAGACGGAGAAATACAAAGACAGAAAACATTAATGTTTAACTCTATGTCTCTATAATATGTATTATATGTGTCACTGTGTCAGTATGAGTACAAAAAGTGCAGCATTAGGATTATTTATCAAAGTCACAAGAATTTCGTGTAGAATATGCAACGCGGAATGGCCCGAACGCATAAATAAATATTAGACTGACGTAGACTGTTCGCATCGTACAAATGTGACACGTAGTCGACTAAAATTAATTACATATTAAAATTATATAAAACTTAAACATAATTATAGGTATTATACTGCACTAGAATTCTGTAATATATGACTTTACATTATGCGTAGGATCAATAATATTATAATAAACATAACTAAAGAACAACACACTAAAAATTGTACACCAAAACGTTTTATTCAATATGTATACATAGTATTAACAAAACACATGTCAAAAACAGACCCTCATTGTTGTACATCATTCGTAGTAACATTACTTTTTATTCGTAAATACGTCTATAAAAAATAATATCGCAGGTACAATTTAATACGCAAACCTACTCTTATACCTATGTAACAATAATAACAATAATTGTGTTTAAGATTTGTTTGAATAATACATATCATTTAGTGAATCCAAACGAGACATAACTTTACTGTAAGTCTGTAACAACTATATAGTACATGAGTATAATAATATGACCTATTCATTTCACTATCCATCTACTCTCGTTGTAAACATGCAAGAGAATTCATTTTGTGTCCTGAAATGGCTGAAATACATTCTTTAAATTCACGCAGGTGGTATCGGAAAAAGCAAGCGAAGTAAAACTGTAAAACTTTTACAAGACCCAGCAGAACTTCTGCAAAGCTTTGAAGTAGAGTATTTTAATCTTTATAGAATTTCAAATTATTATTGCCCATATTAATTATAAATTTTAATTTTTGAATATTTATCGTAACTATCAAAAAAATGATATTAATATAAAAACTAGTAGAAAAAATAAATCATTAAAAAAATTTCTTTAAGTTTAATCTGATTTTAATAATATATAAGAGATGCTTCGAATTATAAGCTTCCAAAATTCACTTTTATAAATTACGAAAATTCAATAAAATCTCGCAATTTATTAGTATTTTCTTAGTTTTGTTCAACAGAACCTAAAATATTATTATATTAAGTATGCTTATATAGAGTGTGAGAGAGTTGAAAAGGAGTATAATTAATATCATGATCTCATATAGTTTTATTATTCCACGATCAAAATATATAATTTCAAATTCTAAAAAACAACAACCGATCGGGACTATTAATTTTCAGTGATTTCAGACTTAAGTAAATTTGTGAGTTAATATACAGTGGTTCACGAGGTACAATTCTATAATTAGGTGAATTTATTTGATTAATAAATTTTTATTTATTAATTTATTTAATTGTCTAGTGCATTGAAGTTTAATTTTTTTGATCTATTTTCATTGTTTATGTTTTTTTCTCTTAAATTATTTAAACCCCATCTACTGCTAACAATTGGAAATTGACTGCCGGAAGATTAACTGGCCATTGCAGTTTAAAATGATATACTGATATATCAGGTAAAATTGTTTAGATGCCATGCTGTTGATATATTTTTCAAAAATGAAAACAAGATCATCTTATAAATGAATAATATTTTTTTTTGATTAATAGTTAATACAAATTTTCCTAGGAGCTTACAAAGTTTTAATTCGTATAGTATGTACATTGTACAATATTGTCGTTATAAAATATAATAATTACCTACCATATGTATGTTAATGATGTTGTTACCTGGTTAATACAAATTGTAACGATTAGAGTAAAAAAAATTTAATTTACAAAATATGTGAAGTGGGAATGGTAATTTGATAAACATGTAAATAGATATGTGCTTGCGAGCGAAGAGATCGGTTTTTTTTGCTACCCAATTTGTCTGGTCAAAACATTTACCCCCCCCCCTCCCTAATGAAAACTGAAATTACGGTGCTGTTCATGTTTTGTTTGACATACGATTTAAAAGTTCGATTCAAGTACTC